CTTAACCGTGCGAACATTTACTAGACGTTTAAATTTCCGTGTAAACAGAGCGAAAATATTTAACGGTACCTCGTGAACGAAGCGCCCGGTCAACAATTCGTCCTGTGTCATGTGAACGAAGCCTGAATGTTTAATTTAAATAACCCTTAAGGATATTTTGCCAAAACCGAGCAGATGGGGGGGAAGTTTTCATGACAAAGAATAAGATAAGAAACTGAAAGCTCGACATTTTAAGGTTAGATCCACCCCACACAAAAACTAGGAAGCAAGCTCTAAAAGTTTGTGTAAAGGCTGGTATCTCTAAAGGTGTATTTTCACTGTCGCGTAATTACTTTACGGGCGTACGTGCGCAAATAAAATACGAGGCAGTGTATGAAAGGTCGCCCGTAAACGTAAAAATTGAGCAAGGTTCAACTTTAACGTTCACACGCGACCTTTTATAGGTTGTCTCTATCCTAACCGACACCTTGCTAAATGGGACACCTAAAGTTGGCCCCTACCTTTCTTTATCCCCTTTTAGTTGATTTCCTATACGACGGGCATCTTTATAAGCTAAAACGGACTCAGAATGCCGGTCTCAAACGTGTCCGAGGAGGACACAGAGGGGGTTGATTTAATTTATTTACGCGCGCGCGCCAGTAAGAAGAAAATTACTCGACAGTGAAAATCCACCAACACAGTTTGAACTAATCAGAAAAAAGAGTCCCGACGTAAGTCTGCAACAAATAATTAATCCATCGTGGTTTCTCAACTTTAAGTATAAAAAAGATGTGCCTCAGATTTTGAAACATAAATAAATAAAATTATATTTCACGTTGTAACGGAAAATCTCGTTTGGCTCCGGTCACTTATGGAACAATCATCATCTCAAAACATTTCATAAAAATATTCTACGCTCAAATTACCGGCGTTGCGACCTGAAGTACAAAGCTTCCCACACGCTTTTGGGGAAGCCACTTGACAAAAACATTTGCCCCGTTTTAGTGATTAAAAAACGTACGAAAGGTTTAGGTTTCTGGGAAACTGCCCACCTACCCCTCCCCTAAGCCATCATTTTGCCCTAAGTAAGAAGTAAGTGTTAATGTTAGCTTGGGGAGGGGTAGGTGGACAGTTTCCCAGAGACCTAAATTAATCCTAAGAAAGGTGCAGTGTGGAATTTAAATATGGTACTCGTAAGAACGTCGCGCGCAGGTTGTAGGAAAGTTTATCGACAACTCAGTTACATTTAAACAAGGTTTAACTAACATGGACGCAGTCAGGTTTTGTTTCTCCGGGTTGTCTTACGTCAAATATTTTTGTTATGAAACACACGGATGAATGAAATCAGCTAGACATTTTTAACAGATATAAATAAAGGTTCCATGAAATGGAATTTCAAAATATTAAGTTGACCTATAGATATCCTTTTTTTCTCTCTCTTTTGACTGGATAAAGTAATTCTGTTTGAGTAGTACCACTGGTTTAATGACTTTAATAGGGCAGGAAATAGTTGAGCCGGCTCCTTTGAACACGAACAATTTTGTACAAAATATCAAGAAACTAAAAATCCTACGACTGAACTAAATACTCACAAAAGCCCGATATCTTTTTCGCTATTCTCGACAACCGTATTATGTACAATAAAATTTGAGAAATATTTCTCACTCCAATTTTTTTTTCTCAAAAAACTAAACGATACATTCTGATCTTTTACGAGGCAACGACCTGAACAAAAAATTCTCGGGAAGAAAGCTATGTATAGAGTTTTCGTCGATCGGGGACCTCGGCTGAGTTACGGCAAAATTCATGGAAAAGGACCCCGTATATCTTCCCAGCTCATCCGAGGGAAAAAGAAGCGATGTAAACTGAAACAACGATTCATTCCACAAACAATGGCAAGGGCGGCGAAAATCGTCTTTGACGGATGTATCTAATTTCTACTTATTTTTCACAGATCCCAATCAAAATTTAACTTTCACTGCGCTGACTGAAAGGTTAGGAAAACGTTTTTTTTGTAAATTTTTTCGCTCACCCTCAGTTGCCTCAGCTAATCACTGAAACGGCTGACTACTTCTAGACTACACATAAAGCCCCTAAAATTTGTACAAATCACGCTCTTTCTCTCATAAAGTAAAAAGATAAGAATAGCGATTTATTGCCAGTAATTTCAGAGACGAAGCGTCGGGAAAAGGAGAGAAAATATATGGAAACTAAGTTCTACACTCGTTCCTTGGCACATCAATCTCTGAACACTGTAATAATTGCTATATTGAATTAAATAAAGATCACAATAGATTCTTTTGCTCTAAACTCAGAGAACACAATTTAAAATAATTTCCTTTTTCTTTCCACTTGAAAAAAAAAATCCTTGAGCTCTAAAATACGTCGCGAACACATGGCCTGGCCTGGTTACGAAAATATCACCGAAATAACAGAAGCGTACAGCCGAAGAATGAAAGCTTGAACGAGAATGCGTAAAAATAATTCTTCAGTCTTCGAATGGGAAATAAAACTACACTACAAAAATTTCTTATAACAAAACTCTCGCATAAAGGACTTTCAACTTTGAGTTACTTTGCCTGACAACAATCGATCTTGTATTTTTTAAACTCTTGCACTGAACAATTTTAGATTTTCACTGCCAGGATAGAAAAGAATTTGGTGCTGAAGGTATGAAAATATTGCCAGAAAGAAAACTACACACTTCTCGTAAAATAATATCCAGTGTTAAAACGCTTAAAAAACTAAAGTCTTGAAATAGTCTTTTAAAACATTTTGCAATACACAATAGACCTTTTTACCGATACGGCGGCCATATTGAAATAATTCGATTTAAGGAGTATTATAGGATGCCCAGGGGGCATGAGCACATTTCATTTGTATTTTCGAGCGCTTTTCGGGACATTTTTTCTTAAAGTTTTCTTAGAATAAGATTGTAATGGGAAAAAATATCCTTGTGCCGTGTTTGTATGTAATAATGATCGCCTTTTTCTAAGAAAACTTTACGAAAAAATGTCGCGAAAAGCTCTCGAAAATACAAATGATATGTGCTCATGCCCCCTGGGCACCCTATAATACTCCTTAAATCGAATTAATTCAATACGGCCGACGTATCGGTAAAAAGGTCTATTAAACGAGATGGAACCTGGGCCGGGTGAACTTTCGCAACGACCTCTGGGATTGTTACTAGGGAAACGGAAAAGAAATTGGCCAATAGCTGACCGTCCCCAATAACGATTCCAGAAACAATTGTGGGGCGTAATCGGCTCCAGTCCCCATAACGTACTCGGTAATGGTTATTCAGTTCCCGTTGGAATAGTTTGATTAGAAAATGCTAAAAGACCTTCACGTCTGATCCAAATTTTTGACATATTTCCTAGCTGCCAAGTAACACCTCAAGGCCTCTGAAGCAAAGAGAGAAAGAGAAATGTGGCATGGTCTTGGAAAAGATCGCACACCATCTTTTCACACGGTAAAGCAAACAGCTTTCAAGGGCGCATTTTTTTTAAAGCAAATCCATAAAAATAGACATCTTGTTTTAAAACAACAGCGAAGGAGCAAACTGAGTTCTATTAACATACATTAACACCATGCCCTGCTCTGAATGAGATTCCAAGGCGACCTGTTGAATCTTACTCAATTCATCTTCCAAGTTCCTCTCGATTTCACAGGCTGAGGTTTGTTCTTTAAGTCAACCTACAAAAAGAATCAACCTCTAATTAATTACAAAACACATGGCTGGTTGTGCCAGCCTCGTCTCTAGGCCTTTTTCCTTTTTCCGCCCCTTCCATTTTCTACCGGAAAAGCCCTGGGGACGAGGATGTTGTTGTGCCATTTGTTTTTTGGCTCCTCGCCTGTTATTAAAATGTGGAGGATCAACACAGAGTCGAGTTCGGTGGTCAGCATTTAAAGGCAGACTCTTTCGTCGTACCGTCCCACCCAACCCCAGTGTTCTCGTGCGACCCAACCACCCAGACCTCTGAAAGAACGCATCAAATAAAGTATGGCTTTGGGGTTTACTTAAAACATGTTCCTACCCTCTTCGAACCTACGCGTGGTTCCTTTTATGTCCCTGCTTATTGACAAGAATGGAAAGCGAAGACATGGCTAACAGCTTAATTAACGACCCCTGAGAGAGCTGAATGTTGAGGAAAGTCCTGCAAGGGTATCCTAGTTCAAGGTTGGCCGGGTCTGGCCTATTTTAAAACTAGAGACCTTAGACCTGCCAGAAATATGATGTCCAGCTGCTCTCTTGCTCAAAAGCAACAGCCTTCCACACCCCGCACCGCTTCCCTCGTCCCGTGATTCGGGTACCGTGTCGGTTCCGTAAAGCTTCAGAGCAACGGTTGTGAACTGGGAACTAGAATACCCACGATACTTTTCGCCCTAATTTTTGCATGGGATTTCAAAATGGCGGCAGAATCACAACAAGAGGTCCCGAAGCGTTAAGAGGTAGGCTCAAACTTGTCTTAATACATCTTTTTACCCGGATAATGAGTTTGAAATGAGGGGAAAAAACATTCATCAGTTCGAAGGAAGATATTCTACCACAACCGCCCATTCCTTTAACTTACTTTAAATAATTCGCAGCTTCCTGGTTCGTTTTCCCAGATTCATTTTCTTTGGAAGAAAACAAAATAAATTTTTAATGACATATCTTAATTGGTCAAATGTTTTTTTTGAAAGATTGTCATTACACCGGTGATACCAGTTAATGAAGGCGACATAACTGTTTCATCTTCCATCATCAATTTTTTCATCAACAACAATCAACCTGACAATAACTTTAAGAATTATTACACGGCAATTGTCATTAACAAAGGCAATATAAGTTCAAGACAGGATGAAACAAGGGTAAAAAATTGGTGTCAACAGGCTAAAGGAACAATCTAACTCTGCTTAAAGGAACACAGTAAGTCAAACTCCTAACGCGATTAAGGTTGAATGGATAGGCTCAATTGAAATTTTTCTGTTAAAACCTTTACGCAGAAGGCTACAGTTTTAATACCTTTAGTTCAACATTACCTTTGGTAAGGTGATGTATAACTCCCCATTCTGTGATCTTCTAAAGTTTGAGTGTGATCTGCCAAATGCTGTGGCAGGCCAGCAGCTTGTGGTGACATGGGAGGTCCAAGAGGATCTCCTTCTCCTACCAATGAATGCTCCTGAAATCATAGTTTAGCAGTAGTATTGTCAGTGAGGACAGGTGCTGGGAGACTGGGAGAATAGCAGAGATGACAACCTCAGCTCTGGAGATCTAAAATCTGGAGACTCGATCTCTTGCACTACCCCCCCCCCCGAATGTTAACGAACGACTCACCCCCCCCCCCGAATTGCTGAGGACATTATGTGAAGACTTACATGAATTACATACCATCAAAATTTGCATTCATCATTGTAATGACGAAAATAATAGTCTTTGTCAGTGACTTAATACATGCAAAAATGCCCAAGAAACCATACTATTTTCGAAAAAAATGGGCTAAACTTCAAACTATAACACAGAAATACTCAAAAGCCGATTTTATGCGGGAGATTTGGTGACCCGTACAGGAGAACTGGTATATATGGAATAGGGGATGAAAGGGGTATGGAGGCAGGAGGAGCTTGTAGTGACATGGAAGGTCCCATGGGATCTCCTCTCCAATCATTGAGTGCTCCTGAAATCATAATGTTGCAGTGGTTATTGTCAGTCCTTGTTGGTGAGGGAGGACAGGGGCTGGGAAACCAGGAGAATAGAGAATGGGAAAGGAATGGAAAAGGTGGGGGGAGCAGAAATGGGAGGTCTGAGAAAATGGGAAGCAGGAGAAATAGGGTGGAATTATGCAATGATGCTTAATATTTTGCATTAATTGAAAAAGGGCTAAAAGGATGAAGCCAAGAGAAAAGGGTGGGAGCCAGGAATGGAAGGAATGAGAAGTGGGAGGTTTGGATCCCCATGTCCCCCCACTTGTTGATTGACTCTATTCTGAGATTACAAGACTGTGAGGTCACACGATCTCTGCTGTTAGGGCAAGAGAATCAAAAGAAATATTCAAATTTGGCAATGAATCAAAAAAGTTATCAGAAAGCGATTTTATTGCCCAGATAAACAATAGAAATGAACAATATTTTGCTTGTACGATGGTTATTTTAAAGTTCAAGTTCTCTTAAAAATGACCACTGACAGTGGAAACCTAATTTGTTTCTATTGCTTATCTTTCATAGCTATATAATTCTGAATGAGAAACTTAAAAGTTGAATTTACATACTCATTCAGTTCTTTGCAATTTTTTTCTTCCTCACCTCAGCTGTCATGTAATGTGGATGTGCATGTTGCCCGTGTTGATGCATCATTTGCCATGACGCTTGTGAGAACGTACTATGAACAGGACTAGTGATGTACTGCGAGCCTGACATTTGTAACTGGTTCATCTGATTGGTTAAATGCTGGACTGAGCTCTGCTGCATAGGGCCAACATTGTGCTCAAGATTGGAAGGTGTTACTGCTGTTGCTGCTAGTTGACTCTGGGTACAACAGAAAGGAAGAAATAATAGGTGAGTTAAAAATGTCAGTGTCTTGGGGGGGTCATGTAGTAGCTCTCCTAACCCTAAAAGCCAATTGGTTTGGTACCATAACCGTGAAACAATGGGAAATAATGATATAGAATGTTGTGTTATTGCTTTCTGCGAACAATGAGGAAACACCTTACGAGCAGCTCAGGTACATTACTGGTGTTGGGGTCAGGGGGCATGTTGTGGTTCAGTTATATTTTTGGGTTCAATTTTACATATGTACTTCAGTCATTGTTTCAAACTGATTATCATACATTACCAAGCCCAAGATTAAGCGAAAAATCAAATTAAATTCTCACTAGTTAATAATTGTTTTCATAGGAATTGAAAACAAACAAATAAACTCATGTAAGAGATCTCCAACAGTTGGCTTCACTGCACTGAGGCGACATGCAGTTGCAGGCCATCTGCGGCTCTCATTTTAGAATTTGTACCTAGGACTTACAGGTTGTAATTGATGTTGCATATGAATGTACGGTTGATGCGCTGCAAGCCAGTTGCCGCCTCCTGCTGCCGCAAGCTGGTAGGCTAAAGGAATGTTTGTTTGTACAAATGCTCCACCCTAAAAAAAATCACAGCAGTAGAGTAATGGTGAGACACGTGCACAAGAATAGTATAAAATAAAGTTGTAGTTAATTTTTTTCTTTCGATTAATTGTTATTTTTCCATTGTTTTTGGGTATGGTAATGTATGCTAATAAATTTAAAACAAAGGAAAAATAAAAACTAACTGAAATAAAAAATTAACTGCAACATAATTAAACACGGGAAGGGTAGACATTATTGTTACTGCAGAGGCACTCACTTGTCCTTGAAGAACTGTGGCATGTGTGACCCTTGCTGAGTTGTTAACTGGGGACCTGAAAAAATATCAAGGAATTTATATTTGGCAACGTTGACATAAGGCAAGTTCAATTTTGTGACATTAATCTTGTTGTGTCACTGTAAAATGCATACACGTGGCCTAGCCGTGAGGACTTTGGTACTGGTTTGGTTCGAACCCAAACTGTAGTGCTACTGCTTACAAAATTGTTATGTGCAGGACAACTTAATGCGTACAGTCTAACAAAAAGTGAAAAAATTCCATTCCATTTGTAAAATACTGGTAATTGAATACAACTAGGTTCATGTGAAAGTACAGCCGAGAAGATTGTGTGTTTGAATGGCCATGTGATAAGATACTATCAGTGGACTCAAAAGTTACTGTTATATTTTCTACATGGGTATGATAATACCATGCCAGTGAAAATACTGCTGAAGTGGTTTATGTGATGAATTTCATTACATGCTAAAGTATTTGAGGGTGGGAATGGCTTTAGATCTATGGTTTTTGTACTTACCGGTTTATAGCAAGTTAAAGCACTATGACATAGAGTGTGTAAGTCCATATGTAAGTTGTTAAGTAAGACCACCTCAACCAAGACCTCACAAACTGCCCCGCCACCTTGTTTTGATAGGTTCAAAAAGCATTCATAGTATTCATTGTCAATTTTATTGTTAATATTACAAACAATATTTTACATGGACAATGTTACTCGGTTTACAAATGATTACCAGTAAGCACATGTCATTCCTCTCAGAGGACAATTCTTATAACAGAGGTGACACAGTTTCACTTTAATCACTGTAAGTACTGACCCATTTTGCATGACAAGTGCATCTCCATATCCCAGAAGTGGTACTCCCTAGAAAAAAATCAAATCAAAGATGAAAGGATATATTTTTTAATGCAACAAAATTATATTGTTGAAGTACATTTTGTTGGCTCTGAGCTTCCAACATTGGGTTATGGACAAGAAACCTTTCAGTTTGCTGGGGTGTTTTGCTATGATCTAAAGGGAAAACTCACCTCTTGTCTGCTAATGGGCCAAGAACTGTCAGCTAAAAATAATAGGAATAAAGATTTAATAAGACACGCATCTTAGTACAAAGAAAACAAGGAAGAATATTACATCAAAATTCATAACAATTGCAACTTAGATAAAAATAACATTACAACAGAAAAATAAAGTCATTAGTCAACTAACGTTCATGGAAAAGAGCTGATTAGCAGTAGACTAGCACCTACATGTAAGTGAAGCTAAACCAAGGTGTCAAAATTAGCTCCAAGGGGATGTTTATATGATACTTGACTGACGTTCATTCCAGAATGAGTTTTGTTGTGGAGTAAAGTTCATACAGCATTCACATGATAAAATTGACCGGCTCAGCTTAAGGAATTCTCGCTCACATGGTTTTCATGCCAGATCAGATATGCATGTGCAACTTGCACCAGACTAAATGATTTGTGATTTTCAAACTGGAACAAAGTTTGTTTCAGCTTACATTGAAAACGGAATGAAATTTCATACCAGATCAAGAATTTCATTTGGATTGACAACCAGCATGAACTCATTGCAGAATGACTTGTATGAGAACGAATGTCATTTCAGTATCATGTCAACAAATACAGAGAAATAAATGGAGCTGGAAATTCATTCTGGTATCGTGTAAATAGTCCCTAAAACTACATCATTTCTTAAACTAAAACAATAGGTCATTCCTCAGGCTCAGTAAACATTAGCAAGTAATTTGCCTTTAGACACATCACGTTTGAGAATAATATTGTTGGGTATTAGTAAATACTTATAGTTATACCATGGTTTTGCTGAGATTGCTGTCTCTTCTTGGGACCTCCATCGGCAAACTTCACTACAAGTGATTCAATACTTCCTGCAATGGGACAATAAAATGACATTTATTCCAAATTAACTATTACATGTGGGATACCAGGGCTCAAAAATAAACCTCGCAAACTTGCAAAATGCGAGTGATTTTGATAATCTGAGCATGAGAAAAATATCCACTAGCAAACTTTTGCAAGTTAGAATCATCCATGTCTCCTAAACAAAGGGAAAGAATTTGCTAGTGGTCTCACCAGTTTGCTACTGGAAAAAAATCTTACCAGCAAAATTTTGCAAGTGCACTAAACAATTAACTTCAAGCCCTGGATACACTTTGTGGTTAGGTGTGAACATTGACTAATGTTTGTGCAATGCCATGTTGGTATTTCAAACTGTCTCTATCTCTTTTGAACTATGAAAACTCATAGATAAGTAACAAAGGGTGAAACTACATCCACTCTTTCAAGAGGCTATTTGCCGAGATTGCCATTTCTTGTTGGCTTTTTAAATAGGTCTACATATTTGTAACTTTCAAAGGAAAAAATCTTACCTTGAATCTTTTTTCCATTAAAGTCTTTAATAATTTGTTCACAAATCTGTGTATTTTCCATTCTTAAAATTAAAATGATCAGTTATATTAGCAGTAGTTAAATACAAATAATAAATTAATAATCTTGATAAAACCAGTACAAAACACTGTGCAGTGGGACCTTTTAAGATTAAACTTTTATGGTTCACAGAGAACAGGAACTTGATGTATTAGTATGTGAAGAACTACACTGGTGTATCATGCACTCATATTACAGTGAAACCTGTATTAAGTGGACACCCTTGGGGAATGCTGTAGTGTCTGCTTAATACAGGGTGTCCGCCTAATACAGGTTTCAATAGATAACGTCATATGAGGTGTCAAATGCCATTCAAATGAACAGTGGAAACGTTTAGAATACTCCCAGAGACTATGACGATTTTAGTTTACATTAATTTCTTTATTTAAGTGGACCAGTTGATCAAAGTACCATAAACATAGATTGCAACTCAAATTTGAAGAAATTGGAAGAGTGAAACAAGCTCTATTCAAACAAAACAAAATAGAAAACGTAACTGTACTGTGAAACTATTCAAAAAAGTTTGTTAAGTCACGTTTTTTAAGGTAAAAAATGAAAATTTGTGGGTGGCAGTCTTTCGCATTTCCGGTGTCTGGCATGTTGGGTGGTGGAATTTAATTACAAGTGTCCATTTAATACAGGTCGGAAACAATAGAAATGACCATTTTCAGGTACTTTTTAGGTGTCTGCGTCCGCTTAATAGAGGTGTCCGCTTAATAAAGGTTTCAATAACGGAATTGAATTTGGGGACTTCGGCTACTGTCCGCTTAATAGAGGGTGTCCGCTTCATATGGTGTCCGCTTAACACAGGTTTCACTGTAATTAAATTTGATAATCAACAAATTCAAAGAAAATAATAATTGTGTGGAAAAACAGAAAGCAAAAATATCCACGCAGTACTACAAACAGAGACGTTTCTTTCATGTGCTGGATGCAAGTCTGACTTCAGCTATCAAATTTCTTCAGTGGTTAATTTTTTCGAGGTGTCATGTTTACTAAAACTACTACAATAATACTCACCTTGCAAATCCTACCCCTCTACTCTCATGATCTGTATCTCTTAATATTCTAGTTGATATGACTTTGCCGTATCTTCTTAACATGGCCTCTAATTTCTGTTCAGTGTAAGAACATTAGTAATTAAAATAACTACAACCTAACCTATTGGTGACATTGCCAATGAAAGACATTTAAAAAACTAGGACCTTCACCCTCTGCCCTGCTCCCTCCCCCCCCCCGATGATTGATGACGACGACCACAAGGAGCACAACTACTACCACTACTACTACTACTGATGATGATGATAATGATGATGATATTAATAACCCCCCAAACAATTCAGGTTTAAGGACTAATTAATCAATTTCTACTTTCTTGTAAGTGTTGTGGTGTTTCCAGATCTGAAACTCAAATTCTTTGAAAGCTCTGTAGTTGACACAGTGCAAGCAGTACTTTACAAATCACATTTTAAAATTGTGCAATCCCAGGTAACTAATCCAGTTGAACTTACCGCTTCATCAAAATCCCTTGGCAGGTAAAGAAAATATAAATTGGTAGGGTCTTGCTCTTGTTGCTGAGGAGAGACAAATAATGCACAAAGTTAAAGTTAATACAGGCGCCATCTGCTCATAACACATAATTGCACCTTTTGGTAATAAGTGGTTATCAAAATTAGATGTAAATACCAATAGAGCAATTCTATATGGTTCCAAAAAGGCATTCTTTTTAACTTATTCTCTTTGTTAGAAACAAAACTATTCCAATACAAAAACCTACCCAAAAGGTAACTTAGTGTGAATGACGTATTGTTAGTATTATTGTTATTTTTATGTTGCTTCTTACTTATTGCAATTCTCCTCAACATGGGTTGAAGTTAACTTCTTTAAAAGTTAATAACCCTGAGAAAATGTTATCTACAGCCTCTTGTTGTAAAAACTGGTAAAAACAGCCCAATTTTTGCACTTGAGCAGATGCCCAATGTTTTTGTTGGTAGAGACTACCCAACATTAACATCACTGCCCAATAAGCAAATTTTTCTCCAGTTGTGCTGTGAAGACTGGAGAGAGGTGTTTAGAATGTGAGTTGATACTACCAGGTGTTCAAAGAGAGCAGTACAGTCAGGTCCTCTAAAGGAAATGTGTTATTTTTAGAAAAAGGGTTGGTGGTCCCACTTTCAGTGTTGTTAATTAACCCTGTGGTTTGACCATTCAAGTGAAAGACAATGAGTAGCTTCCTTTGTTGTGGTAATACTTCTAAAAATAGCAAGGCTCCGAGTTCTGACATTGATTTATCTACTCCACTTTCCCCAGAGGACGATTTTGCAAAATTGAATCACAAGGTTCTGAGGGTTGCATTAAGTGTAGTAAATAAAGTGTATCATTGCTTGAGTTCTTTTCACAGGCATGTCAAGGTTAATTAAGTTAACTCAACATTAATAAAATTAATAACAGATTGTCAACATGTGCAGCCAAACAATATACTTTGTTAAACAAATGCGGCGTGTATGTAAGATGTGTGGGTGAATTATCACAGTGTGACTGTTGTTAAGGATAAGGAAATGATGAAAGACTTATACTATTGAGCAAGTTTTACTTTGACCGAGACTGACCCGCAGTCAATCAATTCTGATAACTTATTATGTGTGCATTTACATTAATTATTTTGTAGCTTCAATTAATAGCTTTTAGCCTGCGGAGAAATCTGAAAAAATGTTGCTTTATATTATAATGATTTGAGAAGGATGTTTTTGTTTGGTCATTAACACATGCAGCTCGGAAGGAAAAATTCGAATACTCCCAACAGGAGTTAATTCTGTGACCTTCATTCCGGTTACTAATCCACATGCTAATACAGGAGACTCATGAAAGCTAAGCCACTAACCAGGTTCTATGAATTTTGTTCCACTTTGAGTGACCATTGACATTATTTAGCTCAGTACCATTTCTTAGTACATTTTTTTGGGTAGGGGTGGAGTTGGTCAAGAATTCAAATGGGAGTGAAAGATTATTAATATATTAAAGAAACAGGAAGTTAAGAGAACACAAAGCCCTGAATACCTTTGCCATCTGTGCTTGAATTCCTTTGCTTTTTAAAGCTGTCACTGCCTTTTGGGCCACAGCTGGGGACTCAAAATCCACAAAGCCATATCCTGTTTGAAATAACAAACCATGTATTAACCTTCAATACAATGACTGATCACCAATGATTTTCAAGGTCACTGATATTAATAACCACTAATGAATACAGTCAACTCTAACTACAGGTCCTGTTAGGGTAGAATTCCGACAAGCAACATGCCTTTGAAATAACGACACAAGACAAGAGGGAATGGTGACAAACGACCAGACAAGATGGGCTAAATACTGACAGGGCGAGACATGGCCTACTCCACAAAAGACTGTATTTGAAATTCAGACTAGAGATATACATACCCCCCTTACCCCCACCCCCTTAAAGGGCCAACTAGAACAGTTACTCTTGAGAGTGGCTCTACTAAGTATTAGATAAATACATGTATCTGTTGTATTAGATGGGCCTGTTTTATAGAGCAAAGAAAGTGACTGAAGAATGACAGGGGTTTAATACAGAATCCATCAGGAAATTGACTAATTTCAATTTTCAGTGAACAAAAATCTCATACCAGAAAAATTTAAACGATATCACATTCATTTTTCCATTTTTCAAGGGCTATAGATATAATTAGTTATCTGTAATAACACTAAAGACTATTTCTTATGGGAGCCCGAGAAAATGAATGTCAAATTTCACAAGAATTGTGAAAACACAGGTAAAATTCTGAAAATTTCATGTGTAAGATGTCATAAGAAATTTCCATTGGTGTTGTTACAGCTAACTAATCACATCTATAGCCCTTGGAAAATGTAAAACAATGTGATATTGTTTAAATTATTCTGGTACAAGGTTTTTGTCCACTGAAAATTAAAATTACTCAATTTCCTGATGGATTCCTTCTTAATACTTTTTGAATTTGTTTCCTCGCTCTGCCACAGACATGTCACATATTAAGAAAACCCTTCTAACTGATCAGATTTAGAGTTTTAATATTTTGTTTGAATGTCTAAAACTTTCCCTCTCTCTTGAAAGCTCTACACAAGCAGGAGCCCATAACTTGAAGTGAGCAACTCCCACACTAGACCTATGTTACAGTTTATTTTTAGACACATTTTAGGGCACTTTTTGCCGTGAAAATAGAATCTCCACCATGTCTATGAGTGCATTCGAAGTATAAGATATCAAAAAGGAAAACTAAATCTTATTGTCAAAAAATATCATCTTTAGGTCTGTAGGTTTTGCTGACTGGTTTGTGGAATTTAAAACTGGTCCATGAAAAACGCTGTCACACGAACACATGGAAGATGCTTGCTCCGGGTTATGAGCTTCTGACACAAGTCATGTGGTCCACTTTAGAGAAGTGTCCATCTTTATAAAAAATTATGTCTGTGAACAGAGAATTGACGATGGTACATTAATTACCCTCATACCACAGGCATACATTACAAAAGCAAGAAGAAATGGTTTACCTTTACATTTATTTGTATTTTTATCTAGAATAGCCTTTGTTGAAATAATATTTCCATATCTGTGGAGCAAAGAGTGTTGACAAATGCATTAGTTTTGGTCTATAAAAGTTCTTCATGCCTCCCCTATGGAAGGTGTTGGGTGTCAAACCACCCACCAGCCAAGACAAACTAAAACAGCTTCACAGTCAGTGCCAAAAAAAAAAGTCTGGATCACTATTCCTAACCTTGTGCCATTTAGTAATTATTTACAAGTGTTATTCCCATCAAACTTTTGTCAACTCCTCACTTCGCATTTGCTTGTTAGACTTTGGCTTTGTCTTTTGAGTGACCTCACTACAGGGTCTTGTGGGGGGAGGGTGAGGGTGTTTGAGGAGTATTAGATATTTCCTGGAAACATGGCATCAGGCATTCATGTCATGATTATTTTTGCCATCAAACAATATATTACTAATGTGCAAAAGTCCTAAAAAGTTTTTTTTGAGTTATGTCCTTTTTGTATTGTCTTAGAAAGGATCCAACGATCCCTTGTGCAGGGTTGACAAAAGTAGCCGGCTGCTGGTGAAAATCGCTGTCTACTTGGTTAGTATCAGCCAGCTACTCTGCTTGGCGTTTCTTTACAGATGGCATTTTTTAATAAAATATCCCTGGACTGGCCGCCTACTAGTTCAGTGGGGACAGAGAATAATATTATGGCTAACCAATTATTTCTTATTTTAATAAAATCTTCAAATACCAATCGAGCTGGTTGAAGATTTGAGTGGGTAATACAGTGAATGAGTATTCATGTACAAAGTATAGATTCAGTGGTGAATTTCCCACAGTTTTAACAAAGGATAAGTAAATTAAGTTTTTCATAATGATCTTCTGCTGCTGCTGCCTTGGTCATGGACTATGACCATGCATGCAAGGTCTGAAAAACCTTCTATATAGCTTAAGTGTTTATGACTAAAACAGATTTTTTTAAGGAGGGAAGGAGGGGAGAGGGTGGGGGCAGTTATACCCAGTTAGATGAAACCTTCACTCCCAGTTTCCAGTACCATTTCTTTTTCAACATTTTACTAAAATCTCATTCGTCTTTGGTCACTTCTAAATAAGTGTATGGTTCAAAGCAGTCTGCTTACATTCGGTGAAGAAATTACAAAATATGCAGCTGAGCTGATCAATGTTCAAAGAGGCAGTCACAGAAATCCAGCAGCATTAGCGATAAGAATTTACACCTCTGTACCTTTGTATTTAAATCTCCAGTCAACAGAGCAGGCATTAAATCACAGTTTTTAAGCACAGGAGTGAGACCTGCACCTCAACAATAATAGTTTCTGCCAGTGTTGGCAGGTATAACATTGTGCAGTACACATACATTAGATGTAAACGGTAAATCTCTCACTAACCTACTACATAAATTATTTAAATCCTCGTCAGTGGTCGCTGGTGGAAGTCCTCTGATGTATAGATTAGTTTTGCTAAGTTTCTCTTCTGATTCATCTTGACTGTCACTAGCTGATAAGCTTCTCTGGTGAGAAGAATTCGGAGGGGGACTACTTGGTATGCTATATGTCTGCATATAGAATACAACAGAAGAAGCATTAAAATCACAGTGATTTTGAAAGAGGGTCTAATCACTGGGGTTTACATAATCATAACGTGACCAAACCATTTTGTTGTCAGCTGTAAAAAGAAGTTATTCATATCATAGACTTTTTCAAGTTATTATTTTGTCATGTTTTCTAAGGGTGGCTCTTCTTGCTTGTCTTAGTTAATGATTATTGTAAGAGGATGACTTGCCTGGAACTTTCTCCAGACTATGGAGCACTTTTATAGTAGAAGACCCCCACATCCGGGGAGGGGGGGGGGGGTACTGCCATATATGGGCTATATAGGTATGTGCCGCTGTGAAGGGTATGATTTTCAAGCAGTTTACTCTAGGATAGGGTATATAAATCAGAGCATTTGGGTCTAGAATAGGGTATCATTTTTCAGGAAACTGATCAGTTGGTTGAAGATTTTATCTAGACTAGGGATTGTGGTATAAGGTTTTGTTTTGGCTAGACTGTGCTAGTGACCTCAGTAGTTTCTGGAAAACAGCTACTCTAGGATAGGGGGAATTTGGGGAGTTTACTCTAGTATAGGGTAGCAAAATTCAGCTGAACTAGCTCTAGTATAGGTTAAGGGTTACAGGGTCCCAGCGGCACATCCCCACCAAGAGATTCCTAAAGTACCCTCCAGGCCCCCACATAATGTCAAACAATGACAGAATTATTAACTGAGACAAGGGGCACTTTCTATTCAACCCAAAATTCTGGAAATTTCAATTGGTACATCAAGTGGAATGGACCAATGGACCAAATGGTTTGGTCCTACCGGAATACTCAAAACCACCTTTGAAGTTGGTCCACTTTGTCTGGTTAGGTTATCTTGGTCAGTGGGACGGGAAGTGCCCCTTTCCATTTGACCAAATTGCTGCCCTCAGTACCGCTCTTTTGTCTCCTGCTTACAAGATCAATAACCGAACTCGCGGTGGCTTGGGTCGGGTCTGTACTCCATTGCATGGGCACATAAAATTTCTGAAATTTTTAACCAGAATTTTTGTTACATGAAAAGCGCCCAAGGTGATGAGTGCGACCAAGATGAGTTTACCAATGCGATCACAAATGTCTTAGAGCCAATGGTTTATGCCTACATCATGATCACTCTTAGCTAGCATAATAGGTAGTACCTTGCAGAATCCTGCTTAAGCTAGTCCTATGCAAGTATTTGACACGATGATCACTCTACTTTCCTTTGGGAGGTTTTTATTTGAATGTTTGCTCTTCATGCTCAAAAGTGACAGCTCTCTTATGTTTGTCCATTAATGGCTCATTGCCTAGTTCAGGATAATTGCCAGCTCATATTATTTTCCCAAAATTACCATCTGAATGATCACAGGTGGTTGCTCAATGTCAAACTAAAGTTAATTAAGCTGATAACTGCTAATGGCAAGTATGTTATTGTTTTGAATACTACCTACATGCAGGAAACAGAAAAACAGACACAATAAAAGCTCCACTGTGTCACTCTGCACACTCACAAAGGCTACTTGATTTTTTTGCTAAATATGTATCAGTCCCCTCTATTTAGATACAACAGGGTCATAAGATTAGCCACCCCTGCCTTCTTACATCACGATATCAATTGCACGTGATGTTGGGCAGTCCGATCCTTTAACTCAGCATGGTGAGACAAAAATATTTTGCTGACAACTTTGTTCCTCCATCACAAACTCTCTGCTCTTATCCCTTGTCAACCAAAAATCCTTAGACAGAAAAAAAAAAACAGTTTCAAAATTCAATGGGATTACCTCCACTAGCTGAACACCCCTTTCACCTTTTGGCATTCATTCAGACATTGACAATTCATTCTGTTTGGCAAGCAGTCAAGAAATACCTTCAGAGAGAAATTCCTTCCCAGTGTCAATTATGAACACAAGAATCAGTAACTCAAAATATTGAAAGTTGTGCCTGAAATCCTGTGGTGTGACCATCCAAAATGAGAACTCCCTGGCATGTAGTCTACTATTTTTTTTTCCTCTGGGTGAAGGAATTAAATCAGGACACCAAACAGAAATTGCCCCAAGGGAAGGGAGGGACACCAGGAAGGGGTTACTGACATAAAAGGGAAAAGGCCAACTCATCAGCTTGGAGAATAGACTGCACCCTCCTGTCCTTTTAATTGGAATTTAGATACTAGACTCACCAGATCTACATTTACTTAATACAGGTCTAGCAGCCAAGGGGAGGGATTATTAATTTTGTCGTTTATGCATTTCACTGTTCTCACATTAACACATACTAACTACTGTTTGCAAGTTAGATATTGATGGAAGAAACATGCATGGCATTCATTGAATTCCCATTCCCGTGTTACTCCATGGTTATGGCTCTAAGTGTGGAAGCTGATACAAGTCTTAAACTACGGCTTAGGACAAGCTGGAGGATGCTTGTCATTCAGAGAGAAGATTATGAGATTACCTTCTTCACCTCAATTTCCTGTTTGGGTCTACAACCCAACCACTGGCACTCAAACAATGTACACAGTACAGATACGACACACTGGGAAAGGTGAGCAGTAGCAATAAAAACAAACAAGTGTATGTGAACCACCACATGTGATGAAGAATGCTATATTTACCCTTACATAAGCCAGACCCAAACTGCAATTTCAGCTTGGTGGCAGTGTAACACAAAGAAGTTTCCCTTGTCGTACACCCTTTCTTGTCTATCAAGACCCCAGGGACCACTTGTTTGGAGGCCCATTGACACTAACCCTGGGTTAAATTTTAATCCGGGTCTCTTTTTCTTTTGTTTAAACGCACACCTTCTGAGATGAATTTCTCTATTCTTTTTAGCACATCCCATCATCAAATTTTCAAGCTTTTAGATCTCTGAAATTAAGTTTCATATTAACCCTGAGTTAACTTAACCTAGCTTTGAACAAACCAGTTCAGGTTTTTCAGATGCCTTAGCTAAAATGAAAAAATGCTTTTAAACTAAAGAAACTGGAGCCCTGGTTACAATTTAAGCCTGGGTCAACAGTACCACTTCACTTCACCCATGTATCAAGGGTGGGGCTCGAAAATAGTCCCATCTGGTAGTCCAAGACAAGTAGATGTGTCCAAGCAAGTCATCCTGTAACAAAATCTTTAACTACAGGTGTTAATTTCCATTTGTCAGAACTGACCGGCCAGATCCTTCCCATTGTAATGAGAATTTCACTATTAATCAAAACTATCCAGCCAGATCAGTCAAATCCTAAATACACTGTAGTGTGCAGGAAGGAGATGATTTTTCTGCAAAAACCCTTGGAAAAAGCTAATTTCATTTGCTAACTGACTCGTCCAACAATGGTCCGCCTGTCCAGTTCTGACCAATGGAAAGTGCCCTACGATGAGCAAGAAGTGGCCCTGGACAAGCAAAATGTAAGAGCTGCTTGCCCAAAGGACAAGCTGGCATTCGAGTTTTTTTTTCAAGCCCTGAGAAAGGAGACCAACTTGGTGTTTGTTGCATAATTTCTAAAATAAAAACTTAGGGGCACTACTAGAAAGAGATAGAAGAGGATGTATACGGCTCTCAAATCCTTCCCCTAATATTGTTTTTGACAGGTTTGCTTGGGCATATACAGCTGTATACCATGTGTAAATCAACATTCAAGGGAAAGGGGTGAAAAAATCTGCCATCATTTCAGCAAACTATTATGACCAAGATTGTAGGTTCCTTCTTGTTTTACTGTCTTGCCAGCAGCTCTTACCCCTGGGTGTGCATAGCCATATATTGCGGTAGTCGGTGCAAAGCGCGGTGATGTGAATCCCATGGGCCATGAAGGGTATGGTTGCCACGTTCCAGCTGGACTAGAGCGAATGTTTCGTCCACTCGGGTAAGTTTTTTGTTGCTGCTGCTGCAATTCAAATTGAAAAATTAATAAGTACAATAGTAATAATAATAATAATAATAATAATAATAATAATAATTCCTTTGTTTACCCTTGGGAGTATTTATAGCACTTATGCTAGTGGGGCTGAGCAAATGACTGAATCAAATAATTAAAATATAATCAAACATAACAGGGTTAAGAATCCCAAATGGCCAGAGGCAAACCAGCTGGCTATTTACAAGCATGATCAAGGATTTGAACTGGGACTACCTTGAACAAATCCAGCTAGCGGTTAGGGTGGGACTTGATCTCGGGGCCTCCGAATTGCAAGTCCAGTGCTCTAATGGCTCTGCCACGCTGCCTCCAGTCAACGCCCAATCAACTTGCTCATACCAGATCACTAATATTTTATTACCACCCTTCCTTAAATGAAAGCTGTCAGTATCTAGATTTAAAAAAGGCATAGTGGTCTGTTATTCAGAGTAACCAGCCTTTGTCTATGCCCTACCCCATTAAATTGATACACTAGTTAAAAAAATTACCTCATTTAATTTTAAATTATTTAATTGTTATTATTAAGTATTATTAATCTGTTTATTCAAGGAAATATAATTTTTTATTAATTATAGATTTTAATTATTAAATTCATAAATCGAAGCTCAATGTGGGAAGCATTATACATTAACAAAATACTTGTACATGAAAGAGAGAGGGAACCTATAGCAACCTAACATTGTTCCTTTACAGCTGTAGATTAAAATTAGTAATTAAATAAAATAATCATTTTAAAAAAATGATTAAGAGGTAGCTCATCCACCCAGTGGTTATTATTTGTCTACATTTCCTGGGCCGAAAAACTGGAGTGTATGACATCACATTTGGGATTAGAACACAGTCCACATTTAAAGTGGGTGGGACTGGGGAAGTGATCTCACCACTGCATCACTATAAGGCCAGGATGGCTGAAGTCATATAAACAGCATTCCAAAAATTAGAGCAGTAAAAAAAAACACTGAAGAAATTGCCTCATTTCATATAAACAGCATCCCAAAAAACTGAAGCATTAAAAAAAAAGAAAGAAAAGAAAAGGATGAAGATTAAAAAAGGACAAAAACAGTGAAGAAATTGATATTTTGGCCACTTCGGAACAAGACAGTTCTAACTTCTTAACTTTAAAACAAAACATTAACTAAAAGATAAAAATCAACTTTCAGTTTGACACTGACCATTTTTGGAAGGTTAGCAGGCTGCTTCTTCCTGTTCTGATTCTGCTGTTGTTGTCTCATTGAACCCTACAAAATTTAACACAAAAGAAATCAAGGAATATCATTATTTGTTCTTATAATCCCAACCATTTATCAACTCTCAGTAATGTATTCCTTTAAGTTTTAAAAAAAGATAGTTAAGCATCACCGTCAAGAATGTGAGGTGTTCTAGAGTCTGTGGATGAGACCTTAAAATAAAACTTGTTCAACAGTACTTTCACACGGTACTATTTATTTAGTATGTAGTTCTACCATGTGAGTTTGTGGATAAAGTACTAGGGTGTGACCCTTCAACCTCTTCAGTAGTACTTAGGTACTATTTCGTAAAATTCCGAAAATAAGCCCCTCCATGTATAAGCCCCTCCAAATATAAGCCCCCCCAAACCGGTAACGCAAAAAACCCTCCGTTAAATCGCCCCTCCAAATATTAGCCCCCCCGGGGCTTGTACTTGGAAAATTGCCCTCAATTACAAAGTAAAACAAAGCAAAAACAGTAAATTTACTTCCAACTATAAGGCTAGCCAAATCGATTTTGAAACGCAAACTTCCCTCCGTAGATAAGCCCCTTCGAATATAAGCCCCTCAAAAAGGGTCTTTGAAAAATACAAGCCCCGGGGCTTATTTTCGTAATTTTACGGTATGTTTAGTATGTAGTTTTAACTTTTGAGTCTAAATTGATGAAATCGTATGGTGCGACCCTTCAAATGAAACATCTTCAGTAGTAGTTTCACATGGTACTATTAGTATGAAATTCTAACATTTGAGTCTCTGGATGAAATCCTACGGTGTGACCATTTCAATGAAACCACTCTCGACTAGCATTTCTTTCATATTATGATACTAACCCATAATTTTACTATTTTTTGGTGTTTTTTCTATATTTAATTAAGTGGAATTTGGAGTTTTTCCTAACATTTTGACTTCTCTTCCTGGAAGGGCAAAAGGAAACTTTGCTAATTTTTCTCAAGGTGAAGGCAATGTTGTGGGATTAGATTTTTCTTTTCAGAACAAACTTTAACAACTTTGGGAACATCAACTAAAAACAGAAAACATGCAAATGCTAAACAAGTAGTTTTAATTTCAAAAGATGGCATCAAATTGACCGCTAACACATTCACCAAAATAACAAGTAAACAGACATTAAAAACTACTGGAAGGAGATGACTGTTAAGAATAAATTTGACTTATTTCCATTTGAAAAACACTGATTGAATAACATCAGGATTGGTTTGTCATTCATATGGTTGTTTCTTTTTGTAACATAACATGAATTTAAACATTCCAAATAAGTGCTTAAATATGATATCGACTTTTAAGTGAAAAGTTCAACATAAATATGGAAACAAATGCTATAAGCTTTTAATGATGTTTACACTGCCCAAGCTAAGATGGTAAAATGTTCCTTTTGAACTTTTTTTTTATTCTCTGCATGTACCGAGCTTCCTAATTTTTTGAAATTGTAAGGTCGATTTTCCCGTGCACTGTTATTATGTAAAAAAGTAACAACTCTCAAGTCTGATGTCGTTTATCCATAACAATTATATAAAACAGTCGAAGACAGAAATATGCTGGTGGAAATACTTTATCGTAATATTCTAAAAAAAACAACACTTGTTTGGGAACATTACTATTGAACCTTTTTTAACAGAGTAAGCCAATGGACCATCAACGTGAGATAACTTCATTTACTAAACAAACACAGAACCACGAGACCGAGGAACTTGAAGGCGGCCTTGTCATCTAAAATACATCAGATCGAAGTAAAACAGAAGTAGAAATGACGGACATCTTCAAAGGAAACAAACGCGCTCCTTTTGTGAAAAAACGAAAGGAGCACGAGCTGGGATCGCTGTTCGAATCACTGTTCAACAACTTTCATTTCAATAGTAACATTTCAATTTTCGTGTACAAGCTCAAACATTTCAGCTATATTTATTGAATTCATTTGCATTAATCTCGCGTTTTCAAAAAATCAATTATAAAAAGACCAGCCAAATCCAAAGAAAACCTATATATCTTAGAGCATGCTCTTTTCAAAGGCCTACTCTTTGAACGCGCCGATTTTAGAGCTTTATCTTCGCTCAAGCAGTGCGAAACTTTAGCGCTAAAAGTCACCCTTATAACACTGAACGAAGGTTGTAATTTTCGTGAACTTAGCACGAAACATGAAACAAGAACAGATAACTTTAAGGTGGTTATTGATAATTAGTTTGTACTGAGTTTGTGATTTATTAAATAGCATTAAGGTAGACTAAACTCTCTTGTAAAAGAAAGCGTTTTGCCCTTGAGACCTTGGTTCCAGTAGCGAGTTAGAAGGGAGTATTTTTGGGTAAAAACATTTGCACAAAATAATGCGCGTGTTCTCAACTACTTTGAAAAGTCTGGAGCAGTGGAACTCAAAAAAAAGTCTGAAAAACCAAATGTGAAACTTGAAATACCTCTATGAGGATCGCGTGTTGAATGAATGAAGGACATACATATATTCAGCTACAGCTTATAGAAAATCTTTTCAAAATACTTAATATTACTGTTATAATCTAAAAGAAGCCCAATTTGACCGTCATATAAAAAAACCTTTGAAGTGGCTTTCTGAAAAAGTTTTAAGAGAAAAACGCACGTACAGTTTACGACTTTTTAGTTGAAAAACGCGGCGAGATTCTTTTTCGATGCGATTCGTTTGCAAACAGAAGTTCCCGTGACTACAGAGAGCTTCCGATGTCTTATTGACAAAGTGAGTTGTACATACATCATGGAAGCTTTGAGCGCAATTTGCAGTCAATTAGTTCGTGCACATCGTAGATGCTGCTTCTGTAAATAACTGTCTTAATAAGCTCAATCACACGACTCCAGCGAAGTTCAAAAACGCAAAATTCCTTGAAACACACTTACAAAGCCGAAATGTTATTCGACTGTTAAAGTGAAATTTCCATCAAAAACTACAGTAGCTACGATCAGAATGTAAATTAGCATTTATGAACATCTCGTTGATGGCCTCCCGAGATAGTCACGCACAACTTTTTTTTTTTTTTTTTATCGTCGCAAGACTTGCATCGGCTTCCGTCAGATAAATGAGTTCACGGCTCCTTCACCGGCTAGCGGTCCGTCAAGGGTATCAATTTTTGTTGTGAGGACAGCTTGCGAATACGTCTCATGTAAAAACCGAGCACGAGAATTTGTTTCTGAAACATGCCTTAATAGTTTCTGTACATTGATCAAAATCAGTGACAGAGAGAAATGGCGATGGCTGCCGCGAACGAGCCTTGCCGTATATGCCGTAGTAAAATTGCCGTCGCCACATGAGAACGAAATAGATTCACTGACTTCGACAATTTATAATCGCCTTTTCCTGCATACAAAAGTTGTATTAAAGCTGAGTTTATTTTCATTTTCATCGTGCTAAATATTTAACTCACGCTCGACAATAAGTCGACCTGGAGCGAGGCTACAATGGCGAAATCAGGCGATCGCTATTAAGAAACGGGTCTCTGTCGCACAATAAAGAAAAAGCCTACTCCAGCTAAGACTAAACTGTGAGATTGGTCGTTTAGTACTTCGCTATACTTTCCTAGCGCGATGAGAGATATAAACCAACAGCGTATTAGCTTCCGAGCGTTGTAAAGTTTTTGCAGTGTAATTTACGATTCTGTGTTGCAATCAGGGCCTTTTTTTTTTTTTTATCAAAAGCGAAGGACACGCGATTTGCGCGACGTGTTTACAATGCTCGCAGTTCCGCATCAGTAACTGTGACTCGAGAAATGAGCTTTCAGCGTATGTTTGCTGCACACAAAAGAATCTCACTAACAATACCGTATCACTGTAGAATCGATCTAAATACGCGCAATAAATCTACGGCGCTCAAATTCGCAAACCAGGTTAGGAATTCTCGATTACAAAGATGTGTACAGAATTGACACCGAAAACGCGGGAATGCGGGAATTCGCGGCAATCCAAAGAACGTAACACGCGATCATATAAACCTACAATCATCGGCAAGATTTCATTATTCATGAAGCTCATCGCGAACGCGAACTATCAAAAATTCAAAAACCAAAACACTGCCAAACGGACTCGCCGTAACTTTTTAGCATGGCTTTTATATGCGTTGAGGACGAAATCCAGCGGCCTTCGCATGACGCCGCCGTTGCGGATATGAAGTGTTACGATAATAATCCGAGAGGAAGATACCTTCTTGTCATCCCTTTCCTGCCCGTTTTTGTTACGGTTTTCAGCCTCCGCTGTTTGCGTTTCCTTCCCCTCAAGAACTTCTCCCTCGGGTAGCTCCCTGTTTGAGTGATCGGGCGCCGATGCCGTGTCGTGAGAAGCGTGCGATTCACCGTCTTTGGCGGCGTGAGTGCGTTCCTTGTTGCCTGTGCGATCAGTTGTCATCGTGCCTGTCTCTTGCTGTTGAACCAATGGATCGCTCATTATATGCCTACAATCCTACAACTGATCGGGAACCTCGTCATTCCAGTTGCCTTGAATCTGAAAGTAAAGCAACGGAAAGCACCTCGTTAGGACAAGCGAGAAAACCCAAACTTGGCGCGTGGAAGCATTAGATAAGCGGCGCACATTGGATTTGTTTCGGTACGACTCGAGCGGCCGTATAAGTGCCATCATGTTATTAAACTGCCGCTCACTTCGCTGATATCAAGCTATTATCCCCGTCAGATCTCTAGGACCAATACCTCACATCTTCACTGCTTCTAGGCGCATCATATGCTTACTATGATAGATGAGAACGCTGAACACGATTCTCTCAATTCGCATCTTTACTCGATAGTAAAACCAAGAGCGAATCTTATCGAACGTAAACAAAACACACGTGGCGACATATTCGTTTGCAGCACCGTGCTCTGCTGATAACAACATCGCTTGGTTTTCCCTGCGCAAAAATCAATACAAAGCCGTTTTTTTTTTTTTACCAGTGTCATTCATTGACTGTCTACTGCCAAGACATCGATCGGGGTGGGCGATTGCGACTAGCACATACAATGCCGTGACGACATAGGATATGCTTTCCCGCCACACACACTATGTACACTGCCCCTAGCTCCGGTTAACCCCTCAACTTCAACTGCAACACGCAAACTCCTTGTACGGGTGAACTCGTCAATTCGCAATGGAACTAATTGCGGCCTTTTCTTCGGTGAGCTACACGTGATTCGGTTCGACCAATGAACACCCCGGCGGGAAGGCTTTTGCAGTGGGGGACGTTAATCGGTAAATCATTTATCGTAAGCTCGCTAGCGCCATATAGTCGGGTCTCCCGCTGGCAACGAAACATGTGATTTTGTAAACTATCGTTTGGGTGCAGGGTTCTACCATTGTGCAAACACGGTGGCTTCGGAAAAGTTGGAAATCTTGTGTCCTCTCCTTAACGACATTGTGAAGTACATTTACGGCAGATGACAATACGGCTATTGTTAAATGGCGGCGAAACTGTGTTTGACAAGCTCGCAGCCAATCAGATAGACGCATTGGGCTTGTTTACTTGTATTTCTCATCAGCGCTAATGTAACAAAGGAAAAATATTCATTGAACCTCACGCTTTAGGAAAATGATTTTTACATGCGGTTGAGATTTCACTGGTTTGGGACTGCAAGAAGAGACTGTGACTTGATCACCATTTCTTTTGTGGAAATAAAAAGATCACGCGAACGTACACGAAGGTATAAGACAGAGACAAATATATGTAAAGCGAGTTAGCACTTCTTTAATCAAATCACTTAACGGACCCATTTTCAAGGAGCGCTTTTCTTTGATAGTCTCTGAATAGCGACTTTCTATTTATTATTTCTTTACAGCTGATTTCGCGCCCATTCATGAATTGATCCACAACACACGAAAACAATCGCGTACAGTATCCACAAACTTGTATTCTGTGAATTCCTACGTTGTTTTTTGCAGAAAAAGCAATCCAAACTTCCATCAATGAACTGTATTGAACAGTTCCTTTCATCGGTGACAGGCAAAAAAAATTACAAGATTATCGCCCTGCCTAATGACTTCTCTGGAAAGTCCTTTGGAAAAAGGGCGTCCATTGAACACATTTAAGTCTCTGCAATCTGATAAACAATCGCAAAACAGCTACAAAGTATTAAATTCTAAAGAGATCTATAACATAAGGATGTGGTCCATTCACTACCCAAAATATTTTCACACTTCATTCATTCATCGTACAAGAAGTAACCCATTTCGCACGATAACGTTACCTCTTTTTTCCCAGCGGTGGGCATCAGAATCCGTTCTTCATTTCCACGAGCGAAACAGCAGGCTCGAAAGAATGCGTCGAAGCGCAAAGCGTGCTAAACCGTTAACTTGCAGGAAGGACAAAGAGAGACCCACTGGAATCACTCGCAACGCCGGAGTGATTTTGTAAATAATTGATGCAGGTTCCTTTTGAAATCTATTCGTTTTCGTTTACCACCATATCAAGTCGCATTAAATATTTGTGAAGTTGTCTTTAGAAGCCGCGTAGAGGTGTGAATTTAGTGATGATTATCGAGCTTAATACAACAAGTCAGAGCTTTTCTGCCGCGAACAACTGCACGCGAATGACGACACATCAGGTGAAGATTTTTAACTCCGAAAACTTGTTTGAAAACTCTAAGATCATGAGAGAGGCCAATTCACTTACTTTAAGCTCTAACAGAATAAGGTTGTGCAACCGTTTCCTGATTTCTTTTATTCTCATTTGCAACCACACTAACATTGACAAAAAAGTCAAACTAGTTGTTAATTTTGTTCACCTACACAAGTAATGTTAGAATGGTCTGTTAACCGACCAGCAAAACTAACAACCTGGTTTTTCTATTATGTGTCTCGGAATATGATTGCGTTTGACACATATGGATCTAAAACCACCGTGGCAATAACAGGTCTTGTTTAATTGAAAGAGAAAGTGAACAAGACAGCGAAAAATCTTACATTTCTATTCACAGCGTGTATAACTACTTCAAAATCCTGATTTCAATTCCGCTAAGCTCTTACATCGATATTATTAAACATAACTGGTATTTCTGTATATGAAATTATCGTATATTCAAACTGGTGTTTCTCTTCTTAAAGTTGTTAACAGACTAAGGCCAGCTAAAAAAAGTTGCGTTGATAACGTAACGTGTCGTAGAACAGCTGCAGAAGAAAGTGAATTTATGTTCGTATCTGTGTTTATTCTCCAAGACTCTGAATATATCAAACGCTGCTAGTTATGTACTGTTCACAACTTACAAAAAAACCGTATATGCTTATTTTAGTTCATGAAATAATTAACATATGAAAATCATATATTCGCAACTGCAGGAATTTCTCCAAGCTTCAAAAATAAGGGTTTCGTTCAAATCTAAAATGTATAAAGACACGAATCAAATCAAAGCCCCTCGATGGGTAGCTCTTTGCTGTGATACTTAAATACTGTACCCCTTGGTTGCGAAGTATACATAGTTTGTGGACTAAGTCCTTTAGTGCTTTAGTGTAATTCAAAGCTACTAAGCCGTACTTTCGCGGCCGTCGGTGTTAAGTGTTTTTTTTGTTTGTCACGTTTTTTTGCCACGCGGTAGTGTTAAAGAAGACTGTTGCATTTGCTCTTCATGGCCGGCCGTGAGCTAAACAAAACAAACATAAAAGGATTAGATTACCACCGACCAAATCGAAGGCCAATCCTTTTCGCGCTCCTATGCAGAAGAACATAGCTCGTATTAAAAAACTACATGTATATAGCTTTCGTTTCAAACGATTTGCACACTTTTTAAAACTTAATTAACTAAATAGGTCGCATGATTATTCTTCTGAATAAGTCATTGGCCAAAACAAGCCGAGAATCTAATGATGTAAGAGTCGTCCCGACTTCAAATTGCCAACCTTTAAAAAGGGTACTCATAGTGCTAATTTGTAACTCTAATAGTACAAGAAGATTACTTTAAATTGTTCGCAATTCATTGTTATTTTATAAAAGGGTGTTGCTGCTGTTGGTTTGAAGAGCGAAGACGCCCAAAACAACATTTTAACTGCGTCTTTTCATGGAAGAAGATCAACTTTCCGTCGTAGAGAGAATGCCATGTAGTACAGTATTATATCTGTCGTCTGGACGTAAGTGAGAACACGGAAAAACTTTATTTCCGATCCCTGGTTGCCGAAAAAGGAGGAGATTCAGTAGAATGCACCAGAAATAAGACAAGGCATGAAAGCTCCAAAACAGATTAAAGGCTCGCTTAACGGAAAAAATATTAACTGGTTCTTCTAAAGAATTTTTTTAAGGGTAAGCATCTTATTTATGATGATTTATTTAGTAATAACGGATCTAATATGGCTGTTTAAAACTATTGACTATCTCACCTATCGAGCACTAGTTTATCACTCTTATTTTATGATGTATGAAGAGCTTATAACAGGCGTTTGAATTATGTTCAAAGATCCAAAGCTCGGGGGTAGGTTGCGGTTTCAGTACAGATTGTTGTGCTGTTAGCTGTGCGGTAGTAGATGGTTTTATATAGTTATCTAGGTTTCCACTAGTTAAAAGAGCTGTAGGATAGTATAGTAAAGTTAGTTCATATGAATACTGAACAATATGAAATCTTACGGTAAATCCTTCCAAACGAAAGCTTCAGTTAAACAGTACGAGGCGTACTACATGAAAATTACGCTATGGAGGAAGGTTAATCAAGTTGAATGGTGTCCCTCTTTTAGTAGAGCTGTAAGATGGTATTAAGTTAGTTGATCTGAAAAGGGCGGTAAACGATATGAAATCTTACGGTAAATGCTACCAAAAGAAAGCTTGAGATAAACAGTATGCGGTGTTGTACATGAAAATTACGCTATGGAGGAGGTTAAATCATTTAAGCGGCGTCCCTCTTCATGTGTTGCCTGTGATTAAGCTGTAGAAAATTGCTTAAACTTCTGAACAATCCAATAAAAATGTGTCAACCCCAAGAAAACTTTTCCTTGTAGCGCAGCTTATAAGCCTGCTCGAGGAGCTTGTTAAAAAGAAAATCCTCTCTGATGAAAGTTTTCAACAACACATCCTTGACTGCAAAACAGCGATGTCCCACAATTTGCTTCTTAAGTTTGGATGAAATCCTGGCTTTGGCTATTCAAATGAAAGATAATTAGCGGTACTTCGTTGAGGTATTTTTATTCAATGTTGCCTAAGTTGCTGCTTGTAACGTTCAAGTCTGTGGAGTACAGAGAGAACTTCTCAAAACTTCCAAATTATCACCACTCAAATAAAGGCTACTTAGTAGCACTCTCCAGTGATACTGTTAGCACAATGCTCTAGTACTTCACCATCAAACGAAAGCTGGCTTTAGCAATACTTGATGTTGTATATATTGTTTCATCATTCAAATGACTATACTGCCGACAGCAGCACTTTGCAGAGGCCCTGCTTGCGATGCTGCAAAAGTTGGTTTAAACTTTTCGGCCCGCGAATG